TGTTTTTAAACGACTCTTGGTATATTTAATTTTCGAAAAATATTCTTCACAAGCATATGTACTTCCAAATAATGATCAGAGGCCTTGCTGCTGGATGTAGTTTATCGTCTTACCGAGGACGGGATAATGTTTGAACGAGAATTCGATGGAATACTAAATATACAAATTAATATGGCCTCTAAAACTCGAAGAAATTATAGAGTCGATGTTGCGGGAAAGGCCCCAGCATCGCATAACCTCTGGGCGGCAATGGCTGGCGGCGTTGTTCATAGTTGAATTAAACCATAACCGGGTATTGACCCAAAGAGTGTGAGTTCAATACCTGGTTAAGGCAGCGGAGAACTTGGAGAGGGGAATTAACAGGAGATAACTGATAACTGACATTTATTAAACATGGCACGTGGAACTAGAACAGTCTACCTCAGTGAGCGAAATAAAGGGTTCAGTTCGACATTTCAACCACCTGAAGAAGGCCGGAGCGAACAAAGACCGAAACGTTGTAATAAATATGACGACAAAGATGAGGACAATAGTCCGAATAATGTAAATAGTGACTCTTTTCTTTGTTTTTAACGAGATTTTCCTGTTTCTTAATGCTTTGCTTAGCTTTTGGAAGGCATCTTTCGCTATCACAATCGGCTTTCGAATTCGGTGCCACACTTTACAACCTAGATTAAAGCACTTCGTAGATATTTAAATTGTCGTACTTGTTTGATTTTGGTATCTCCAATCTGTAATTCTCATGCTGGGATCTTCTTTTTGCTGACAACCATACATTCTGCTTTATTACAATTGATGTTTAGTCCTTTCTTCTCGCCTTTCTTCACTACATTCTTTCGGATTTCCTCTAGTTTCATTTCTGTGTCTGTCGTCATCTGTTTATCATATGTTGGAAGATTGTGGCCGCTAATAATGAATACTGGTAGGAATTCTAATTCTTTCAGAATTGGCTTATGGTGAAAATGCTTTGAACAAATCTAGTGCTTTGAATGGAACGGGAGGTTCAAAGAAGAGTAAGTACATGTGTATGATCGTAAAGGAATAGTTTACGATAAATATTTAGCATAAAGACATAATTCGTAATCAGCATGTTCATTTAGAAGTGCTGTAAGGATGACTAGAATCTGTTCCGAAGAAAAAAATCAGAACTATGTCCTGATAAAAATCTTCACCGTTGTGTATGATCCTTGATATATACACACGAGTTACTAAGAAATCAATCACAAGCATGTCAAGTGTCATCAAAGCCGGCGTTTATCAGGGTTTTCTTCTCGGTCCTACCTTCTTTCTACTCAATATTAATGATCTGACCAAGAACATCCTCCGATCTTTAGTGAATATCTATGCGCAAGATGTAAGTTTATAGGGGTACATCAAAAAACCTGGATGGCCAGGAACTCTCCTTTAACTTAGCCCCAGTGACTCTATGGGGACAAAAGGCAGGCTTGTTAAATCCAATGTGTCTAACCCACTTCACAGGTATTTACATTTTTGTACTTGCTAGAATTTGGCATCTCCCATTTATAATTCGATTCTGGGGGTGTTGGTTAGTTGTTTTTGTTTAGCGGCATATTAACACCTCTATGGGGTATTTAATGCCGAAATCCAAATATGAAAATTTAAACTTTATAATTAATTCAAGAGAATGACATTATTTCATGATTCAATTATAATTAGATAACTACATTTATTTTAAAAAATAAACTTAAAATTTTTTTTTGATTTCAACCAACACTCGTTGCTACTTTTGTAATATCAACGAATACTCGTTGCTACTTTGGTAATGTCAGCGAACACTTTGCCCATTCGCCAATTTGTCCATTTGATACTTAGTCCGTTCAACACTTTGTCCATTCGCCATTTTGTCCATTCGCCATTTTGTCCATTTGATACTCAGTCCGTTCGACACTTTGTCCATTCAGCATTTTGTATATTTGATACTTAGTCCATTCGACACTTTGTCCATTCGCCATTTTGTCCATTTGTGTTATGGTCCGGTTCTTTGTACCACGGTGATAGTCCAAGGTAGAACCAATAAAGAAGAACTCGAACACAGGTATGGAATAACACAGATATATTACAAACAGGAATATATACAGAGAAGTAGAAGTATTAGTATGAACAATCAGGTTGAGTAGTATTGTCTGAACGCGACTCTGTTTCGGACTGCCTCTGACTCGACTGGCTGACGCAATCTGAGTGACTGACAGACTCCTGACGGACCTCACTCCAGACTTCAGACTGAACTCTCCGCTTCCTCTTGAGGCGCAGTATTTATTACGTATGGAATAGTCCATTGTGTTATTATGGGTAAGGTCCCATAACAATTTGATATTTAGTCCGTTCGACACTTTGTCCATTCGCTATTTTGTCCATTTGATACTTAGTCCATTCGACACTTTGTCCATTTGATACTTACTCCGTTCAACACTTTGTCTATTCGGTATTTTGTCTTTCGACACTTTGTCCTTCGACACTGTCTATGCACGATGATACGTGAGGTATCTACGAATTGTTGGTTAAAAAATTCATGACAATAATGTTAAAGGTCAATCATTGGGAGCCCATAAGATCAATGCAGGGTTCTCTTCTAGGGCTTACCCGCTCTCTGCTCTATATTAATGATCTGATCAAGAACATCGATTTTTATTGAATATTCATGCGTTTGACCAGATCCTATGAACTAGCCCTGGTGGTTCAATCACGGAAGGACTGGGTTGTAAAATCCAGTCTCTACAACCAAACTAGTAACATTCCGCTATCACCGACCCTCGACTTTCAGTGATCATGGATGTGTTTTCTCACAAGAAAAAATACTTCTTCAGAACTATTAACAGATGATATATATAACAAAAAATGATAAATTCATATCACAAATTTTATGATTCATGATGATGATATTTCTCATTCTAGAAATAAATATCTGAAATTTCATCATTATAAAAACAAACATTCCAGCACAAGCAAGAGGAGCAGTGTTAAAAAGGACAACACAGATTGAACAAGATGCATCTTCTTCGCTTCGTGAAAATCCATAGTTGACGGTTTTCAAAAGCTTTCCTTAACCATGAAATATCTCAGAACAATGATAAACAAGCCCAAATTTTAAGGAAACAAAAAGAGACAATAACCACGAGAATATTTAAGACACACAAAACCAATATTGTAAATAACATCACGAAAAGAAAAATACACATTCTTAACATTAATTTCAACACGTGCTTCAAGGTCTCGTTGTTTGTTATTTTTTGTACGTTTTATTCATCTCATTTTCAGTATAAAAAATATAGAAACATAATCCTCTATCAGCTACTAATAGATGCAACACGGGGTAATAGATAGACAACTCCATTTGATACTTAATCCGTCCGACATTTTGTCCATTCGCCATTTTGTCCTTTTGATAGTCCATTCAACACTTTGTCCATTTCATACTTAGTCCGTCCAACATTTTGTCCATTCGCCATTTTGTCCTTTTGATACCTAGTCCGTCCGACATTTTGTCCATTCGCCATTTTGTCCTTTTGATAGTTAGTCCGTTCGACATTTTGTCCATTTGATACTTAGTCCGTCTGACATCTGTAGGCAGATTAAATGTTATCTTGGTATTCCATCATGTCGATCAAATTTAACTTGTGAGAAATGTTAATTTAATTTGATAACCTTATTTGCTTACTGATGAAAATTGAATCTTTTCTATCTAATCGCGACTAATCTTTTAAATAAGGCTTTCAGATATAAACATTAGTAATATATTGATATTTATTCCCTCGTGATGTCCAATTATATTGCGGATTTCGCCCTCAATTGAATTAAAAGCGGGTGCCAGACTTTTGTAGGTCAGCTGACACACATTCGTCTTTGGCTTAAAGATCGCAAAGCGGAAATATTGATAAGAAGTTTATTCATTAGAATTTCTTATCTTAAAACAATACGAAATAATCTTCGACAAGTAAACTTTGTCGTACTGCTATGGTTAACAAGCTGGTCTTGCTAGATCAATTACAATTAAGTATTGAATTCGATCCTCCCTCAGTGCTCCATATTTACGCCCGTGTGCCACATCTAAATTGTACTTAGGAAATCCCTATAGGAGAGCTATATTATTTTAGTAATGCTTGTATTAACACCTGACAATGTGAATTTTCACGATTTCCAATGCATTCCTACAGTAAAATTATAAGCAATGCATTTAGCATTGTATACACAGACAAACCCAGTGTTCCTGCTTTTCTGTGCATCCCTAAAGTAAAATCAATAATAATGCATTCACATTATGCCCACACACACACACACACACACACACACACACACATACACATTGTTTGATTTATTTATTTTTTAAGGTTTATCAACCCGTTACAGTTTATTTAAAGCCAGAAAATATTTTTAATTGTGTTGTACACCCCTTCGTGCTGGGGTTAGTCTTGGAGTGACTGTCTTGAGGCGATCAAAATAAAGTTGTCGTTTTCTCGTTCTTCTCTCGGCAGGGAGATCGCTAGTCGGTTTGTTCGTAGGTAAAATGAGACATCAAATAGGGGAATTTGAAAACTCATCTATTTTATTAAACACGTCGGAGTGTACATTTAAAACTAGCCAGTGGGGTCGCTATATCACCCCCATTGGGGAGAAAATTCCCCGAGACCCGAAATAACCACGTGTTATCTCTTCGACGTGTAAAACTTAACTCCTCTAAAACACTTTTTAACTCTAGCATTCCCACGTTAGGCTCAGCCAATCAAAATCGAGATCCCTATTTTGTCTACCACCTGACACCCAAGGTCAGCCTCCGAAGGTCTGAGCCAAATACACTGCCACTAAAAAAAAATAATACTCTGAAACTATTGTTTAACAAGTGGGGAAGAGGTGGATACATATCTTTTCCAAAGGTATTTTCTTGTAAGTGAATATAAAGAAACTGACTGGAATTGGAAATCAGGTCTCCGATCTCCAATGGTGGAACTATATGTTATCCATTGCACCAGCCGCACATCCTAGTTCACAACACCTGGTATTCTCAAGTGGTCACTCATCATAGTACAGACAGGGCTCGACGTTGCTTAACTTCGGTGATCGCCCGAGAATAGGTGTTATATATATATATATATATATATATATATATATATATATATATAATTATTTATTTAAAAATATGATTCCAACTCGCGACATAAGCGGTCTCATGTTTCAAAACAAGAGCCAAAACTTCAATATAATTATGATTGAGTTAAAGTAAGCTCTGTTCCATCTTCAGCGAAATTTTTTTGGAATTATTGAAGTTTTCGGCTCTTGTTTTGAAACATGAGACCTCTTATGTCGCGAGTTGGAATCATATTTTTAAATAAATAATTATATTTATGCTCTACTTTTGTATCGAGCACTATTTTTAAAAAATAATAACTAAAGTACTAAGGAACTTTGGATTATTTACCTAACCAGTTCTTTCCTATTTTCTATATATTTTCACACACACACATATATATATAGATACATATATATATATATATGAAGAAATATAGTCTTAAGGTGTGCTATATTTATGGGATAAAGTGCTCAATATCAGAGATAGAGCGTGTGTAAATATAAAAGTGAACATAGAAGTCAACACTTAGAGGCGACAGACTCTTTCATGCTAGATGCAATCGTCAGGCCATCTAGCATGAAACTATCGCCTCAAAGAGTTGACTTCTATGTTCACTTTTATATATATATATATATATATATATATATATATATATATATTCCCTCCCCATATATGCATACTGGGCAGGGAATATACATATGCAGGCTAACAGGAGAACGCACGCAGGGATAGGAAGACATCTCACATCAACACATCTATCATCACTACCTCTCATACCAAACCTAATGGTTTTATTAACACTTAGGCAGAAATTCACTTTCGCAAAGAGTCCAGAAAGGAGTTCAAGGTTCACTAACACATACAGAAAACGAACAATGAGACATTAAAAGAACATAAGGAAAAGGTATACCTTTTAAAAATTTATTCCTTTTATTTGCTTCAAGAAGGTCACGAGACCGGAAACTCGTGTAGCAGAAATATGAAGAATAAAATATAATATATATATATATACTAAAACAAATCCGCATTATAGCAAAAAACGCTTGCGGTTTCTCTCTTTTAAAAATATACATTTTTTCCCTCGTTGGAACAACTATAACATTTTCCCAATATATATATATATATATATATATATATATATATATATATATATATATATATATATATATATATAGTCTTAAGGTGTGCTATATTTATGGGATAAAGTGCTCCAATATCGTGTAAATATCCGAGACGCAATCGTGTTAACTTCAATGTTCATTTATATATATATATATATATATATATATATATATATATATATATATATATATTGAAGTTAACACGATTGCGTCTAGAATATTTACACGATATTATTAATTTTATCCCAATTTTTCCGTAATGTTTGCATTAATTTCTGTTAACTTCAATGTTCATTTATATATATATATATATATATATATATATATATATATATATATATATATAAATGGACATTGAAGTTAACACTTAGATACGATAGACTGTTTTTTTATACCAGACGCAATCGCCAGTCCCGACGATTGCGTCTAGCATATTTACACGATATTGAGCACTTTATCCCATAAATATAGCACACCTTAAGACTATATATATATATATATATAGTCTTAAGGTGTGCTCTCTCTCTCTCTCTCTCTCTCTCTATATATATATATATATATATATATATATATATATATATATATATATACTACTAACCATATTCTTTCTGTAATGCTTGCATTAATTCTCAGCCATTGAAAGTCATTTTACCGATTTTTTCAATACATACCTATAATAAAATTATTAACAATATATATATATATATATATATATATATATATATATATACATACATATTATTGTTCTTTCCGTAATGTTTGCATCAATTTCTGATCACTGATCCTAAGTTTTATTTCCATAGTTTTAATTACATATTACATATAGTAATATTCTTTTCTGTTGACTTAATTCCAGATCAATGAACATCGATTTTTCATTTATTTTCTCTGACAAAAATATACACTATTTTATTTGGTAGTGCGAGATTTATGTTAAAATATGCGCAAATCTTTTGGCAAGATATGTTAAAGGCCACAACCAAGAAGCTTTAAGCTTAAAGTATATTCATGAAGGGCAATGGTTCTTGAGTTTCGTATTAGATTTCTGTTTTTCAGCTTACTAAAAATTGGTGTTCAAACGAACTATATTCTTTAGTTCTAATCTTCAAGGCTAGGATCTGCCATGCCACGCACATTGTAACGACTCATCCTCATTCCCTTTGTATTCCATTGGTAAGACGTATGTTCCACTGAAACAACTTCTTTCTATGAACTGCTACTTTGTGGAACCGACTCACAAGCGGATGCTTTCCCGATCGATTCACTCTTAACTTGTTCAAGTCAAGGGTTAGCCGTTATCTTCCCCGTATAAACACTGTGCCTCTTGCTTTGTAATCGTCTACCTCGGGCTATCGGGCCCTGTACAGGGTGAACATTATTGTAAAAAATAATGCTGTGCAATAGATCTTGTATCCGACAAATGAAGTGTAAAATGTCTTGATAATATTGTGGTTGTCAAACCAAGATATATACTTGATTTTTTGTCAGAGATACAATATACCAAAGGACATTTCAAAATCTAAAACACCTTCACAATACAAGAAGATAATTGTTGACAGCATCAATATACTACACCGAGAAAATAATATTAAATAAAACTTAATATTCTCGAGGCCTTCTGTATCAAAAGCAACCAACACTTAACAAAATTTATTACGAATATAGCAACAACGTATTAAAGTGCATATAATAAACATTTAATGCCATTTGACATTTCTGACAATTTCCGCTCCGTTCTCTTATATGGAAACACTTGATTTGCAAAGGATTCCATGACTACAACGGAAAAATTTCAAATTTTAAAATAATTATAACAGAGCTCGGCTTTTTAAAAATCACAATCAAAACGAAATACACATTTTATCGTAGTTACAATAAGTTTGTCTTGTTACTTACTCATGAAGATGATCTTGGAGAAGATCGAAATACTTGGGTTAGAAAATCTAGGGCGCCCTCCAAAATGAATATCATTTTAACATCAAAGAACTGATTAGACAGGTGGAAGGGGTCAGTATAAAAATAAGTAGACACAATGTCTATATTATTCAACGAAACATGTTTGAATGAAGATATGCTACCTATATATATATATATATATATATATACAGGTAAGGTTTCCGGACACACACACACACGCATATATATATATATATATATATATAAGAATTGAATTCATTTTTATTCTGACACCACTTATTCTAAGCCTTAGTTATGTGGACAAACGTATTTGAATAGACGTATAAAGTAAATAAACACGGGTCCTACTCAAAAGAGGTGTGCCCACAAAATAACAATTAAATAATAAGGTATATATATATATATATATATATATATATATATATATATATATATATATAAACAGTGTGATTAGTAATTCCCTATTTTATGTATGATAAACTCTCCTGTCTATTTATACGGGCGATTCATCATATATAAAATAGGGAGTTACTTTTTCAATCACACTATATATATATATATATATATATATATATATATATATATATATATATATATAAAGGGAAAATGAGAACAAGCGGAGTATAATTCCATTGTCCGTAATATTTAATTTAAAAGAGTGCTCAATACAGTGTACAGCAAAATATTATTTATTTTACAATATTAAAACCTGTTATAAATCGCTATATAATGACAATTATGTTTCAACACCATAAATGTGTCCCCTCGGGCGATGTTAATTGGCGAGTGAAAGACGAATTTAATTTCAAAAGCAGAATAATTTAAATATATAGGCTTGTACGCTTTGCCGTGATTAACCAATCGAATGTGACCTACACTAAATTTAAATTCACCGGAATTTTTTTTTAATTTAGGTCATGACACGAAGTTTTCTGCATGTAAAACCTAGTCAATTACCTTATAGGCAGATTCAGGTTGCTACATTATTTGGTAAGATGTACCGAAGTCTGACGTTCAACTTTCCAAAGAAGTAAAAACGAAGGAGATGGGGAGGTAATTTAACACAATGCTAAACAGTTATATGTGCGCTCAGCTTCTTGCATAAAATTTTGTAGTTGATAAATAAAAGGCCTCATTAAGAAACTGGCAAATAACTTAACCGTTCGAAAAAACAAAACAAAACAAAAACGGATAAAAAATACATAGCTACTTTGGCAAATTAATATGCAGGCATCAAATAAAGAGCATCCATATAAGATGCTAATAATACGAACTAATCCATGTAATATGATAAAAATACCAAGTAAACATATGTACATCCATATAAGATGTTAATAATACTAAACAAACATCAATACAAAGCAATATTAAATAAAAATGAATCATATAAATAGAATAGTAAGTCATATAAGGTGAGCAACGGTTCGTCTACTCATTATTACTATAAGAAAAAGTATTATCAAATTCAAAGTTTAAACATATTGCAAAGTAAAAGGAAGTGCTTATAGTTCCAACGAGAGAAAAGTGTATATTTTAAAGAGAAAAGAGAAGCCGCAAACTTTTTGGGTTTTAATGTAGTTTTTTAAATATATATTATAATTTATTTTCCATATTTTTGCTAAACTTTCATTAAACTAAATTTCCACATATTATTTAAAGGAATTAATTTTCCTTATGTTTTCCGATACTTAACCATTGTCTTTTGTGTTTAGTAGTAATACAAATTTTCTTTGACTTGGACTTCTGCTTAAGGTGTAATAAAACAATTAAGATTGGTCAGAGAAAGGGGGAAGGAAGGCGGTTATTGTTCTTTTTTTGCAGAAGAATATTTGGATTACCATTGTGGTGCGTACCTTGTTTCATTGAAAATAAAAATTTTAGGATGAGAAATAAAAAAATTCAGGGTCGCCAAATACTTTTGACTGGTAGTGTGTATATATATATATATATATATATATATATATAGTAGAGTAGATAAGTTGATCAATAAAACAAAGAAAAACGAAAGGGTACCGATGAAATCAGTATGAAAAACATTTATTAATATTAACCAGGTGGCAAAAATGAAACACGGAGATTGAGGTTCCAAGTTCGGAATTTTCGAACACGCCTGTGTTCTTCATCAGCGGATGCGAGAAATAAACAGAGGAAAGATGGAAACTATCCAACATTAGTTCCCTGACTGATTTCTCGCTGTGCGAAACTTAATGTGAAAATAACTTCAGATTTAAAAATTGTGATTGGTGGTGATGGTAGGGGAGGGAGATGCTGAACATAGGGGAAAAGGGTTGTAGGACTAGGTTGTGGGAGCAGTATTAGATTTGTTTTAGTGGGTTAGGATCAGTGTTGGAACATAGCGAGATTGTCAATAAAAGCAATTTTTCTAATTATACATATATATTTTTTCTAATTATATATATATATATATATATATTATTTACATTATTTGGACTATTTTCCTCATCTTTGTCGCCATATCTATTACAATTTTTCGGTCGTTGTACACTCCGGCCTTCTTCAGGTGGTTGGAATGTCGAACTGAACCCTTTTTTTCGCTCATGGATGTCAGTTATCAGTTATCTCCTGTTAATTCCCCTCTCCAAGTTCTCCACTGCCTTAACCGGGTATTGAACTCACACTCTTTGGGTCCTGTCACTGGATCTAACCAACGCCTTTATCCACTGTGCCATGGCTCGTGGAACTATAACAGTCTACCCAAGTGAGCGAAATAAAGGGTTCAGTTCGCCATTCCAACCGTCTGAAGAATGCCGGAGCGTACAAAGGCCGAAACGTTGCAATAAATATGGCGACAAAGATGAGTACAATAGTCCGAATAATGTAAATAGTGTACATAATACCTCATCTCAGAAATATAGATAGATAAAGAAAAATAATTTTCAATATATATATATATATATATATATATATATATATATATATATATATATATGATTGATTTGTCAGTGCCTAAAAACCTGAAAACCATAGCACTAGTTTAAACTGGGTAGACGGAATTTTTCGAAATCCGTCCATGGTTGAGCTAGCCTCAAATCACAAGTCATCGGAGGCGAAGGTTTGAACCTTCCCGGTGTTGTTCATTCGGCTGATCACCCCACTTTAATGCACACTCTCTCAGAAACTTAACAAAGCTCCGATCAGCATTGTTGTAGTCTAAACCATAGGAGGGCTTTGTGGACTTTGAGCTGGCAAAAAATGTGCCTTAGCAGGTGTCGGCAGATGGTTTTATGCTCGGAATAACGAGTCTGTGATACCTTTTATAGAAACGTTCTTATATTGCCAATTCATGTTTCTTGCACCATTCGTAAATGAATTGTTTAGCTGGTGGGGATTTCCCAGCGCGTGTTCTAAAATGCCTTTTCGCAGCAGTTACAGAATTCATCATGATAATTGAATCCGACAGAACCAGCCCTCTCAACCGCGCACGAATTTTCTCACTGCTTGTCGAATACTCAGTAATAAAGTTTCATTACATTTATATATTATATTTTTGTCTGTTACAGTCATTCTATAAGAGAGGCTATAAAATTTATATCTAGAAGAGCAAAAGTGTCAGCCCATCAAAGAATATATATATATATATATATATATATATTTTAAGACATTTTTATGTTTATACATTCTTTTTATAGATACAAATATTTAAGTAAATGGTCTGTTTATAATAAATAGCATTAAACAACATTTACCGGCATTGACTTAAATATTTGTATCTAAAAAAGAATGTATAAACATATAAATGTCTTAAAATAATTGTTTGGACTTTGTCCATTTCATAATATATATATATATATATATATATATATATATATATATATATATATATATATATATAAAGGGTGTTCCAATAAGTAGGACCGATTTTAAAAGGAATTAAACTTAAGCGTCTCATTATTTTTTCTTTTTCTTTCAGATTGGACATTTTTGGTGGACATTTGGTCGATATTATTTTTCACACAGAATTGCCATGATTTGAATAACATGATCCAATAGAGAAATAAATAAATTTTCACAATAACACTGATTTATTTACTGCTGACTTTGATCCATCTTAATGAAACACCCTTATATAAAATCCCTTTTAATGAAACACCTTATATATAATCCGTCTTAATGAAATACCCTTTATAATGTTTCTGTAATAGTAATTGAGTGCTTTGTTTTTTACGTCTTATCAACTTTTTCGGGTCCTTTAAAATCCGACACCAGTCCTCTTATTTGACCTATAGCTGGAGGGTGAAGATAGACCCATACCTTTCCCAAGGGTATTTGCGCGTAAGTGTTACTGTAAAAGGCTTTAATGGGTTTCTGCATAATCTTTTGCATTGTGAGTATCGATATCATAAATACGTGTTTTGGTTGAATAAAGGATTGAACCAATTTCTTTCTTTCTTTCTTTCCAATCTCCCTGTAAAAATAAATTCAACTGCACTTAATTGATAGGAGGACTGATTTTCAGAGTTGCCTTTATTATTTGAGACAGAGAAGGCGATATATACAAGATGGCTCTAAACTAAAAGCTACTCGTCTTTTCGAAGACATTTTACGTCGGCAGGTGCAAATATTGATACATAGATGTGCAAATATTGATTTAATGCATCAATTTTGGCATAAAAGGATAAAGTGAATATCTACCTATCTATCTATCTATCTATCTATGCATCTGCAAAGGCGTTCTGTTTGGAGTTTCTATGCGCATGCGCTGAAAGTAGGGATAAAGAGAGACCGAGAGATGAGTGCGAGGAAAGAGTGAAAGGGAGAGAGAGAAGAAGAAAAAGAAATGGAAAAAAGAGAGAGACAAAAGGCAGAGAGAGAGCGAGAGAGAGAGAGAGGAAAAAGAGAGATGAAATGGAGAGGTCATATAGAAAAGAGAGAGAGGAAAGAAAGAGAGAGAGAGAGAGAGGGGGGAAGAGAACGAGGAAAGAGAAAGAGGAAGGAGGGCTTAGAGAATTTGTCACTCACATGTCGAAGGCAAATGGGACAGAGGAAGTTAACAGATTCACCTGCTTGAAGAGCTTGCGTGAATGAACGTTGGAACGGGGGGGTAGGAATCTTGTTATTGGGACACATTTTATTAAGAGCTACAAGAAATAGGAAGTTGTAGAGCGCTATGATCGGTAAGATCCTGATGGGATACGGTAATAAGTTAATAATGCACGAAAAACGGCCCCAAATGACGAATTTCATATTATTATTATTTTTTTTTAGATTCCTGTTTCGGATTGTGTTTCTGGTTACTTCTAAAATCTGATTCAGTTCTATACGCCTAACGCTTGTCTTTTACTATGTTAATATAACTCCACACAGTAACCCCCCCACACACACTCTACCTTGGTGGGGAGGGCTCTTGGGCTTTATATTGGGAGAACATTAGTGTAAAAAAAAAGAAACAAAAAACAAACAGGAAAGATAAAATCACGTCGTCTGAGCATATTTGTTTTAGTTACTGTAGGGGGAGCAATTTACAACGAATTTACATAGAAAATTGAACCCCCTGTTAAGTCTTAACTCTTCATTAAATTACAGCGATTATGGGGGAAGTGAAAGTAATAAGGTTTAGTTTAGGATGTCTTCATTAAGCTTATAAAATTGTTATTCTTTTTAAAGTAAGCATTTTGAAGTATTTGAACTATCCGTAGACAATTTATAACACTTACATAGACTATTTACCCACACTCTATAGGTTAAATAGTAGAGTATGAACAGTCTAGTTTTGATTAGCAGTTACTCTAGGAAAATTGATTGATTCGTTTTTTAAGGCTTATCAGCACATTGCATGTTATTTAAAGCCAGAACATATTTTTAGATTGTAAGAATTTTTTTCGGAGATAATAATGATTTAGTGATACAAGTCTTAATAATTAACTCCTAGATGGGGGGAACATGTAGATCCATACATTTCCAAAGGGTATTTGTGTGTAAGTGAATATAACGAAATCAACTTATCCATTACACCAGCCACACATTCAAGGTTACAGGACCTGTTAATCCCAAATGGTCACCCATATAGGTATTGATCAGGCTGAACATTGCTTGACTTCAGTGATCGTACGTGAACCGGTGTTTCAACGTGATATGGCCGTAAGTCCTCCCGGAGAAGTCAAAGGGAAGCGAGTTTCTCAATAGTTCACAGCAATTCACAAATATTAAGAAAAGGGAAGTTGTGGAGAGACTTGTTACAATTTTTGGATACATTATGTAACTAGTGAGTTAGCCCAAATGACTTGACTCACTTTATAGTCCGCCAATAGAAGGTTAACCAATCAGAAGACGTAGAACATTCAATCCGTCGTGTATAAAGGCGGCCATTTTGTTTACTCTATCCGAATGTCCTGTACCAGCTTGTCAGCCGAAGAGGAGCAGAAGGAAGAACTACCGGGATATCCACTGCTAACCTGAACAACGCTTTTCTACTGTCTTCGAAATATTCACTGCTAACCTCTGGATTCTATACCCGAAGACGACCGTCATCATGAACAACAAGACTTGACTATCTAGGTCCTGAAATAGCATGCCCTTTTCATTCTATCTATAAAGAAATGTTTGTTACAGATCTTTAGTGGGTGACTGTCTTTCTAAAATTATGAAGGGTGGGAAAGTCGCTGGAGAAGGGAGACTAAGTTCGATCTGCCTTACAAAATCAGACAACGAAAGAAATACGAAATTGCTTACAGTATCTTCAAATGATGAACAAACCAACAAGCAAAAGGAGAGACGAATAGGAAATTGAGGTCACTCTGCGCCCGACAAGGCGAAATTACGAAATGAGGAGGTCAATATGTAGGTCAATTTATTTGACTATTATGTGCAACGCAGCAATTATTGGCGACAGGAATTCTGATTACCGGCTTGTCATAATTCCCCATGTATAATATGCATTTTTTTCTAAAAATTAATAAGCAAAATCAGGGGTGCGTACTATGTACAACTACAAAAATTCTTTAAAAAAATGCTCTCAAATAAAATAAGAATTATCATAAAACTAAATTAGAATAATATTATTCTATGTTTAAAACCATTTTTTATAAGAGTAGGAAACGCTGTCTGTAATGAAAATGGAGAGGTACAATTTATAGGGTTTGATTGCCAAGCAAATGGGTGCGTCTTATGCATTCCCATACTTTCCCACACTTTCAGCACAATTTTAGGGGTACGTATTATGGACGAAAGCGTATTATACATGGGGAATTACGGTAATTCTATCTTCTATATGCCATTAGTTTCATAATTACTATGACGTTGAAGATTTTGGCTCTCCACATTTTCCTGTTCTTTGTAGTTCTTAATAAATGTCTTTTTATTATCTCTCTTAAATCTTATTCAGTCATCCATTTGCACATTAGGTAACTTGCGTTATTTTTCCTTTGTTCCTCTTGCCTTCAATAAATCCTGTGCGTGTAAAATTTTCCAAGCCCTCTTTCCTCATTTTGTGCTCTAGAAATGTGAACTATGTCTTCCTGGTGTTAAGTATAAGTTTCTATTGTCTTTAGAACTTCTAGCGGACCGTGTCGGTGATGTTGAGTAGAAATAGAAGAACACACGTGGGTTAAGATTTTCCTGATAGCCGGTCCAACTACATGAGAAAGTTGGACTTTGCCAAAGAAGGCAAAGAAAAACAAACACAAGACCGATAAATATATGTAAACAAATATATATATTAATAACAAGAAAGGTTACAAGTTACATGGACAGTTACATGGACAGAATGCGTGTGGTGAATATTATGTGTGTGTGTTGTGGTGAGTGTTCGTACGTACGTGTATTGTTCTTAGCGTGTTCCCAGCATTTGGGAAACGCTGTATCTGTGAGCGTTCACATATGCGAAGTGGTAAGGCTGAAAGCCTGAGGAAAAAGAGGAAGAGGTGAAGGGTCAGCGAGTATTTATAACCAGGGAAGAGAGACCCCTGGTGAAGGGTTAAGGAGCTAAGGAGGAGCTAACTCCGACAAACTTCATCGATGCTCACAGGTTCGGTCCATGGTATCCTTGGCATTTTCTACAGAATCACATTTCTGTTGCTTCAAGCCTCTTCTTCAACTGCGAGGAGATTGTCCAGCATTCACTGCCATATAAGAGGACCGTTATTTAGTCTTTCTTTGTACCTAACAAAGCTTTCATGCGCCTTAGTACTTTGCTTAGCTTTTCACGGTCCCAATGTGTCTTAGGATTTCGGTGTCGCACTCACCCTCCGGTTAACACTGGTATAAAAAATGTAGATATATCTGAAGTTTCAAAAACGCAAATATAGAGACGGTTAGCCAAAAAGCTAGACACTAAATCTTTTTACACGATTATCAAACGGAACACAATAATTTCCGTTTGCATTAGAATTAAAAAGAGAGCTGCTGATCTAGTTTACACGATTCAAAAGGTTAGATATAGAGTAGGTTCGTTTTTCATAAGAGTGAAAAGATCAAGGCTCAAAGATAGTCAATGAAGTAGGCACATTTCAGATTAACACCGGTATCATATCTCTTCTTCATCTTTGAGATTGTACAGCATTCACTGCTATAGGAGGACCGATATTACATGATAGTTAAGTACGCTTTCTTTTGTTTCTAACGAATTTTTTCTGTTAAACCGGCCTAATTAGAGTGACAAAAATGCTGGTTTTTAAATGGTGCAATGAACAGGCAATTATTGTGAGCGTTGTCCGTGGCTTGGTGTAAATATTATCGCTGCTGCCGATTTGTGTTGAATGTCTTCAACAAGGTATCCATTGTGGGATCTGTTTTTTTTTTTTTTATTCTTATGTAGATTACTCGGGATATTATGAAAACGACTATAACTTGTTGAGCAGGAGCATTGCATTGCTTTGGTGCGTGATGAGGGGCAACGTGCGAAGTTATCCGCTTCAAGTACATGAGTAAAAGATGGTGTTAGATAAAGGGACGGAGGGAGGGAAAGAATGAGAGAAAGAGGAGGGATAGGGAGAGAGAATGAGAGATATAAAGAGAGTAAGGTTGGGTACAGAGAAAGAGTGAGAGAGAGAAATGGAAAGACCGACAGATAAGTGAGAGCCGAAGAGAGATATAGGGACCGAGGGGACGTGTGATAGCGAGAGAGAGAGAGAGAGACAGACAGACAGACAGACAGAGACAGAGACAGAGAGCGAGAAAGAATGCTACCAGAGAGAAGTTCATTGCTTGCTAGAGAGATACAGGAAAAAGAGAGGTGTAGTAGAGCGAGAGACGAAAGAAGAAGAAGAAGAAGAAGAAGAAGAAGAAGAAGAAGAAGAAGAAGAAGAAGAAGAAGAAGAAGAAGAAGAAGAAAGTCTAAGGGAAAGAGAGGAGGAAGAGGGATAAGAGATGTTGAGAGAAGGAAGAGAGAGAGAAAGAGAAAGAGAGGGATAAGAGAAAAGAA